AAAAAAACTCACTTCACATCCTTTATGATCTTTGTATCAAGTATGTTGAAAAGAGTAAAGTAAAAAATGGTGAAGTTATATCTCAAAGATTGGCGTGGAAAACAATTGAGTTCGATTCTCTAAAGGAGACTAAGTTACCATGGGATAAAATGAAATTGAAAAACAAGGTTGATTGGATTAGGAGTGGGTGGAGCTTGTGGAAACAATTGAAGGGAAAAGAAACATGTTTGGGATGGGATCATGTGAAAGGAACTATAAGTGCTATTTCTAGTGATTGGTGAGCATTAAAAATATAGGTTGGTTCTATTCATTAAAATGCGTTGGTACAATAGATTGAATAGCAATGCAACATTTGTTCAATAATTTTTTTAATAGGAAAATCCTAAGTTTGAATCATTTTGAGACAAAGGGATTGAGCCCGAACTTGAATATAAAATGGATCAAATCTTTGCAACTTCTGCCCAAGGAAATCCAAAGTACATTTCAGGAAATATCATCTTAAGAGAAGATCTGCATGTGGATGCTGATGATGTTTGTATTCCTTCCCTACATACTAATATCATCATTATATGGGTGGTGGAGAGGAAGAGAATAACGAGGGTGGAAACTGTACAACTAATGCATCATGGGAATATTTGTGGTGTGAGCTCAGCCCCACGTCTCCATCTCCTTCCACACTTATCCCTTCAGAGCTCACAAATTGGAAGAGATGACATAAGGAAAGGTAAGAGGCCACTTGAAGGTGATTTATCAGAAAGCAATAAGAGTGCCCGAACAAATCAAACAAAAATGCAGGGATGGCGGCACTTCAAGAAATTTTTGGTGGCATGATGGAAGTAGTTTTGAAAAGGGTGAATCAATCAACGAAAATACTAATTTAATGAAATATATGGTTAAATCCAATTCAAGTAACAACATATTAGAATACAGTCTTGGAGAAGCAATGGCAAAACTATATTGCTTGAATGGTCTATCTACCCTTTCTCCCGAGTTTTCTTTGCTTGATCAATGTTTGAAGATCCGCAACGACAAATAATTTTCTTTTGTTTACCGGATGACAATAGTAGTGTTAAGTACATCAAGTTTATGTACAATAAGTTAGGGAACTAAATTTGTTGGATGTTTCTAAGCTTTTACCTTAGACATTTAATTTTGTTATGCTCGCTGCAATGTTAACTTTTGCCTTTTTAAACACTGTTGGAATATTGTGAACTTATCATACCATATTTTCTTATGTTATAATTTATATTATTTACTATATTATATTGTTACATATTGCATCATGTATTTTTACTTGTATAAATGTAGGTATGTATAATGACAATATGAAAATGGCACAACTTCTTTTATACTTAAAGTATTTGAGTGATGAAGAAGAATTCTTGGATATGGTTGCTTGTATATCTACATGCCTTGGTTTCTATTTTGTGGGCCCTTTAAAGGAGCCATGTATGACTTCTGATTTAACAGGAGAAATGTTGATCAATGAATTACTGAGTGGTCATGATAAAGGTGTTTCAATGTCTTTAGAATGCATCAAGAAACATTTTGTCATTTATGCATTGATCTAGAAAATCAGTGTGGCTTAAGACCGGATGTCAGTTCTCGAGAAGGTTGGTTTATTTGTATTTGTAATAAGCAAAGGAGCTTTCAATAGAGATATCAAGAGCGTTTTCAACATTTTGGTGAATTAAAACGCCGAGTAGATTTTTTTAAGGAAGTCTTGAGCGTGATGGATGGATTTTCAAGGGATATAATTGTACCAAAAGATCCAGAATTCAAGAATGTTCAAATACAAATTGGATTCCTTTTTTCTGTTATGACCAATAAAATAATTCGCATGAATATATAACAAATCCAAGAAAATTTTGTGTTCATTCATATTTTCTGTAATTGAATGAGATTTTGTAAATTTTAAAAAATTAATATTTTTTATATACGCACAAATCACTCTTTCGAATCTTACTATATGTCAAGTATTAGTCATTATAATATATGATAAAAAAAATTAATATTATTTAATTATTAATATAATTTATATTATGCGTGGGATGGTAGGACGGATATTACACTCGACTAAAATCAATTTAATAAAGACTAATACAAACACCACATCATAATAATAACTCAAGTAGTGACGTTAAACGCGTACGTATGTGGCAAACTGGAGTTGTACTCTATGTACTCTTTTGTATAAAAATGACACATATATGTTTAGTCCTTTGGTTAATGTATAGAGCTATAAAGATACATTTATAATGTTTAATGATTAAAAGTAAAAAATTCAACATCAAATATTTAAGAAAAAATTCACATGAATAATTCCAACTATCAGCAATCTTCCTATATTAATCTCAGATATACGTAATTCTAATATAATCTAAATTATAATAAGGTTATTCTCAAAACAATCTGGTAACCTGCATAAACTCATTCAGCAGGTCACCCAGACACATGACACATTATTACTGGTCTATCTTTTTTCTGGTCTATATTTTTTCTTTTCTTAATCCTTTTTTCCTTTCTTTTTTCTTCCTCCGTCTTACCATTTCCCTTCCGTTTTCTTCTTTCTCCACCGGTAAAGTATACTACTCACAGACCATGATTTAGCAGGTTTTCATTTTCTTTTTTTCCTTTTCTTTTCTTTTCTTTCCCCCTCTCTGGCATCTGTGGATTTAATATAAGGAATATTTAAATTGCCAAATCCAATTCCAATTTCCCCTTACTCGAATTTGGATTTGATCGAATTTTAGAAGCTCTAGATTTGCATCTAATGTTAGAAGTTCAACTCTAACTTTACCTTCTTTCTCTACTCTACTTTTTCTTTTATTTTATTGGGGCTTGAGCATAAAGTGTTTCAGCAAAGTGCGAACACCAGCTCGTCCTTGTTCCATGGTCTCTGTCTAGACCAGTTGTAGATCGTCGACGACCATCCGCCCCAGATGCTCTTCATCATCGTTTTTTCGTCCGACCTAGTTGTTCTTCAATTCATCGCCATCCAAGTGTCTATCCCATTTGTTCTTCTACGAGGAACCTCCGTCCATCCCAACCTTTTCATCATCAACACACTCGTCCCTCTCATCCCAGCTAGTCCGGTCTCCATCTCGTCACTTTTATTCTTCATCGTCAGTGCGTTGTGCCTATGAAACAACCTGGTTGCTAAGCAGCCCAACTATTCTTTTTATTTTTATTTTTACTAGGGGTTTACCAGCTAAATAAGTTGTAGGTAAACTGGATCAATAAAAGGCGGCCTGTAATTTTGAGATTATTGTAGAGTTATGTGTATTTGGGATTAATATTTGGAGACCACTGATAATTGAGATTATTCATATGAACTTTTCCAATATTTCAAACTTCAAAGTATCATTGATAAAATAGTCGATATATTAAAAAAGTGAGAATATAATATTCAAAATTGGGTATCTAAAGTAGGTATCAAATATGTGACTAGCACAATAATCACACCAAAATGTCAAATAGCAGGTGGTTAATTAATCACTCGTGAATGTAACAAAACAAATGAGTGAGAAAATTTTGAAAATAAAATTGAAAACCATGATAAATTTCAATCAAAATGGAAGTGGGGAATCGTACTGTCATATTTTGATTCACCATATACATTAATATCCTTATTATTTCTATCATTTAATCTATTTTTCAACTGTAATTATTCCTATGAAAGAATGGCAAAAGTATTACTTATGAGGTTTTAACAGACAAAAATATGACCATTTATAGGACAAAAAAGTGACCATTTAATTTAAAAAGGAATTATCTCTCGAGACCGTCTATCTCCCTCTTTGTGCCTTCTCTGCGCAAGATGATCTATCTGCGTCGCCAAAGCCAAGCCTCCATCTTCAAGCCCTGTCCGCCGCCTTCACCATCGTCCCCCTGTGAGGTCGCATCTCTTCTTCCAGGTCACGTCGTTGCCGATGAAGCTCGCCGCCACACCTTCATCGCTCACCGCCACTGCAAGTTTGCATCTTCTTCGTTTGCCGCCATAGGAAGTCCGTCGCCTTCCGTCATTGCATGTTAAAGTGATTGTCCCTCACTGAAAAGCTATAAAACAATAAATCACTATATAAGGTTTCGGGTTACTCCTCCTATTAGGTTGATATTTTAGAATGGAACTCCGGGTCTTAACATGGTATCTGAGCCAATTCCGGTTGTTGTTTGACTGCTTGTTTAGCACTCAGGATTACATGTAACTTGTTAAGGGACAGTTTGGTCCATTTATACACCTCGATATTGTCCAACCCGAACATGAGGGGACGTGTCACAATATTTCTCCCACACCAGAAAATTGTAAAACAATAAAACACTATATAAGGCTTTGAACTACTCCTCATGTCAAGTTGACCTTGTAGGATGTAATCCCAGATCTTAAGATCGTAAGTCCGTCGTCGGCCTTCTTTTTCCTCTACTTCTGTCTCCCGTCAGAATGACAATGACGGTCGATGGTCACTGCCATTTTCAGATCTGGTATTAGCTATGGTCTGAGGAAGAGCGGGGGTCATGGTTGCGGCAATGGTGTTTAGTGGTTGAGGGGCAAGGTGTGGTGGCTGGATCTGACAACTAGGGTGCTATGGGTGGGCTATGAAGCGAAACAACAATAAAAAATAATTGTGCAGGGGAATTGGAAGGCTAGGGAGGGACATTGACGAAGTGGCGGCGGCCGGAGTAATTTTCAACTGGTGGTGTCACCGAAAAATTTGACATCACTAGGTAGTGGCGGCATCACAGTGGCGGCGTCACTGTGTTGTAAGCCGGCAGGCGGCAGCCACTGGTGGAGGAGGTGTTGGATGTCACTGTGTCTCTGACATTGTAGTATGTCATTGTAGCGTGTCACTGTAACTTATTAGTCACATTTATGCATGGACCAGTCCGGGCCGGTTGGCCCGGCCCGACTCCACCCCTAGTCACATTTTTGAAAATTTAAAAAAATCACATTTTTGTCAATTGTCCATTTAGTAATATTGAGGTCAAAACCCCTATTCCCATTTATGAAAGTATAGTATATTAGTATTCTTGCTCCATATATATTTCACATTATTTTGACCCCTATTTAGTAAAATTTCTTAAACATAAATGTACATTCTTTTAAGTTTTAGAACTGCCCATGTTAGATAATAAAATATAGGCAACTCCCTGCTTGGCCGGAACTCATAAAACGACAGAAAAATCAAAGCAACTGTAAGAATTTGATCGAATAGAGGAAGCATATTTCCATTTGCCAATTGATGTACCCAAACACGAGAAAGAACCAGAAAAGATGAAATTCAATAAACGAACTTTATATCTTTATTGCTAAAGCGACTATGGCACAACTAGAGCCAAAAAAAGATAATCAAATCAGTGATTAAATCAATCAGTTTGGTGGGGGGAAGAATATCTCCTCTGCAGTCCTCTTCGACCTGAACTCCTTCTCCACATCTTCCGGAACATTGAAAGCAGCCTGAAGCACTTGAGGTGATAGCGCCTTCCACACTGATGTCTTCCCAGCCAAATGAGTGAAAATAGGGCTGCAAATAAACACAAAAATTATAGTCATTGCACTAAAAAAAATCTCAATGCAGGCACTAAAAACTGTATCTACACAAAAATACTGAGATTTCAAGAATATATACTTACTTTGGAGTAGAGATGATGGAGAACCACTCCAAGCCAACAGGATCAGAAATCTTAGAAACAACAAAGAACCTTGGAACAATGAACAAGTGGCCTGCTTTGACTGTAGTCTCCAGCACACGCTTCCCATCCACACCTACAACCTGAGCACGCCCACTGCCCCTAACAATGTAAGTCACCTGTAGGGCTGAGTCACAAGAGAAGCCAGGGGAACACATGGCGTTCCCATTCAACCTCACCAGATCAGCTCCAAGCCCAACCTCTCCAACCAAAGGCAAGTTCTTTGTGTTCAGCACCACAACTTTGCCACCATCCTTAATGTCAACATCCAAGGGCGCTTCCTCGCAGTTCAATGCCATGCCATCCCTGTGGGCTGGGTTGGGTTCGGGCATCTTGAAACCCGGTTCGAGTTTCACAATGCCCTTGCTGGATTGGCTACCCACGAGCTTCTTCACCACACTCTCCTCCAGATTCCATGCCCGGGAAACAAACTCAGTCGAGAATCCGGTGAAGATGCCGTTCGGACCAGTCAAGAAGAAGTCGGTGAAAGAACCGGGCTTATGGGCCGTTTTGGTGTCTCCAAGGAAGAGAACTACAAGCTCTGTGTCCATCTTGTTGTACCACCAGGTGACTACACCAAAGGGAAGGGCAATGGCGTCTCCCTTCTTGATGGAGATAACCTTCTCTTCCTTCTCAGGAAGGACAATTCCAGCAACTCCATAACCTGAACAGTGCATTCGATCATCACCATCAGATGAAAATCTATGAAGTATAAACTAATCAATATCATCTGTCAAGCATCTATGAAGTATAAACTAATCAATATCATCTGTCAAGCGTAAATTTAGAACAAATTTCACCGATTTGAGCATTACATTATTACAAAACTAGTATTGAATCTAGCATTGCATATTCTATAATTATAAAAAAATCTGCTGATGATTCATACAAGTGGTTGATTTTATCCAGAATTTCAATTTACGGGGTAACAAATCGCAAATAGGTGAGATACTTGGCAATTCGAATCAACGATCATACCAAATTAAGTACTCAAAAATCAACGATCATACCAAATTATGTCATCCGAAAATCAACGATCAAATATGAAAACCTATATTCTACCAAATAATCATACTCGGCAAGCATAAACAGCTCATAATCAGAGTAGATTTGTACCTTGAAGAACATAGGCAACCTTGGCGGAATCAGAGTAGCGAGGAAGAGCAAAGCCGTTCTGCTCAAGAGCAAGCTTGGCGGCGCCGATGTTGCCTTGGTGGAGCATTGGAAGCTCCTCCGGGGACCAGGCGTAGTAAGCACCGCCATCTCCTCCGTACACCTTTTTGGCCAACTTTGGGGAAAGATCGAGATCCATGGCTTTTTGAAAGATAATAATTGTACGGAGTAATTGTTAAGGAGTAATTAATGAAAATCGTAATGCATGATTGATCCTCCTCGTGAGTATATATAGCTGTTCGTCTTGAGGGATAAGATAAGAGTGACACACATCAACTCTATCATCCGATATACGGAAATTAGGGAGCAATGACTAATCGTGTACGTACGGAGTAACTACAAATTAGGGAGTATCATAATGAAAACAAATAACAATACATCCGTTGAATAAAATACGTATAATATACGGAGCATTAAATAAATAAAGAATAGATACAAAAAATCATTATTTGGACTATTTTTAGTTCCAGACCAGACCAGACCAGATTTTCTTAGTTATAAAATACACAGAGACTAGACGTTTACCAGACCAGACTAGACCAGACCAGTTCAGTCCAAAAGAAAAGGGAATTTTTCACAAATAGCCTAAAAAGATAAAATAATATCACTTTTATCAACTTTGAAATTTGTTTTCAAAAACATTTTCATGAAAGTTTTACTTTTCAATAATAGACTCTAGTTAACGGCTAACACGCCAACTGCTAGCACCCTAACGGCATTACGGCAATACTAAAACCTTTGCACTTACTGCGCAAATTATATGGTACATCCGGGCGTATGTACACCCGGTTTTTTTGTAATTAAATAGACTGAGCTTCATCCTTCCGTGCTCCACTCACGCTCGTCATTGGCCGCTGTTTTTTTTTTAATTCACCTTTTTTTTCAGCGGCTCATACATGTGTTATCCGCTGCTTCCTTACTCTATTTTTTTGAATTCATTCGCTGCTTCGTTTTTTTTTTTGGTTGAACTGCTTCATTTCTTTTATGTTTTACTTTGTCTTTTTGTTTTTTATTTTCTTTACTTTTGCTGGTTGATTTTACTTTCTCTTTTTTTACTTCTTTTACTTTCTTTATTTGTTATTTACTTCTTTTCTTTTTATATACTCCATCCATTCTTTAATATTAGTCCTCTTAGGCTTTGGCACGGGTTTTAAGAAGAAAGTAGTAGGGGTAGTGTAAAAGGTGTAATGAGTAGTGGGTAAATGAAAAAGTAGGAAAGAGAAAGGGGTAATGGTAATAAAAGTTGGGGTATAAAGGTATATTTAGAGTAAAAACTTTCCTTAAATGGAAAGGAGGACAGATAAAAAAAACGTCCCAAAAAGGAAAGAAGGACTAATAAAAAAGAACGGAGGTGGTATATTATACCGAGCACATTAGAAATGAGTTTTACCTTAAACTCAAATGAGTAAAACACCTAAAAATGAACATACGCGAATGAGCTTTTGAATTTTCGAATACTCATTTTTGTAAATTATGTATATTCATTTAGTATCTCTGTTGCGCTCATTTTTAAAATGTTTTAACAATGCACATTTCAAAAGTCTCATATTACATTATTAGATTTATATAAGAGTTGATTATAGGCATGAGACTACAAATCATGATACTCAATCGCAGATTCTAATACTCAATAACGGAGGTTTGGTGCTCATTGAAAATGTCTTGATGCTCAACGAATAAAACTTAGCTTACACTTTCCATATCAATGCTCATCTTGTAAGTTACATATGCTCATTTGTATAAGTCTGATCCTCATTAAAAATTCATTAATGCTCATTTAATACAAATCATTATTTCCATCTCAATATAGGAGGTTTGATGCTCAATGAAAATATCGTGATGTCCAATTAACATGATTTTTTAATCAATGCGCATTGTGTAAACTACACATGCTCATTTGGTACTAATTTTATGCTCATATGTAAAATGGCATATCAATGCGTGTGTAAAATGTTCAACGAACAAAACTTACAATTTTCATATCGATGTTCATCTTGTAAGTTACATATGCTCATTTGTATAGGTCGAATCCTCATTAATGCTCATTTTACAGAAATCGTGATTTTCATCAATCTCAATAGAGGATGTTTGATGCTCAATGAAAATGTCGTGATGTTCAAATAACAAAGCAGCTAACAAATTCATTAATACTCATTTTGTAAGTTACGTATGCTCATCTGGTAGAGATCTTATGCTCATTTTCTAAATGTCATATCGATGCATTTTTTAAAGTACTATTTTACATTAATTCACATATTGAAATTCACAGGAGTTGATTATAAATATAGTTTAATAAGATTTTATAAAAGAAAAAATAACAAAAAGAAAGTGAATTAGAAGTTATGAAGCGGAGATCACGATTCTCAATATTAGACTCCTAATACTCAATAGAATGGGTACGATGCTCATTAAACGTTTATTATTGCTCATTCACTAGAAACCGTGAATTTCATCTCAATAGCGGATGTTTGATGCTCAAATATTAAATGTGAATACATAACGCGTGAAATGAGTATCAAAAAGTTCAAAATGAGCATTGCGCCAATATGCATGGATATGACATTTTAGTTGTCTCGTGTAGTGCTCATTTTAAAATGAGCATTACACAAATATCAAATGAGCATAGCTAATTTACGTAATGAGCATAGAAAAATTTTAAAAGCTCATTTGAAATCTCGAGTATGCTTAAATATCAATTTGTGTATTCAGTATGCTCAACGGAATATGTCTGGTGCTCATTAAAAGTTCATTATTACTCATTCTCCAGAAGTCGTGATTTTCATCTCAATAGTGGAGGTTGGATGCTCAATTAAAATGTCATGATGTTCAACTAACAAACCTTACGATTTTCATATCAATGTGCACTTTGTAAGTTATGTATGTTCATTTGGTACTCATGTTATGCTCATTTTTACAATGTCATATCAATGAGATGAAAAAATCACAGTTTCTATTGAGATGGAAATCACAGTTTCTGTTAAATGAGCATTAATAAACTTTTAATGTTCATCAGACCTATTATGAGCATTAAAACACTTTTGATGAGCATCAGGCTTATTAGGAACCTAACACTATATAAAAAAAGTATAAATATATTTATATAAAGTAATAGTATGATTCATAGATCAAATAAATACTTCAAAAATATGAATTAGTCTTTTAATATAGTAATAATGAGCAAAAACAAAAGAATAGTTAATATTATAATTACTATTAATAATAGGCAGTATGAAACTATATAGGATAAGTAAGATAAAAGAACTGATTATCTCAACAAGACAAGTTAGTGAGATGGTTGGAAGGCCGCATATCCTACTTTGGGTCTGGGGATCGAATCCCGCTGGGGATTTTAATTTTTTTCGCTGGAACAAGATGTAAGCCCACCAGTCAAATTTAATAATTGGGCCGGATGTACGTACATCCGGGTGTACTATATAGGGACTCCACTTAGTGCTTGTATTCAATTCACACGTGGAAGTGATGAATTCAAAAAAAACATAATAATGAATGCTACAAAGATAAAAATGATATAAAAATTAAAATTAAAATATTCTAAATATCGAGAACACGTTTTTTAATCAAATATTAGCTAGATTTAAAATAGTAAAAAAGAAAAGTGTGAAATATTATTTAAAAAAATATCTATGTTTACAAAGTTCTAAAAGAGGAAATTATATTTAAAAAAATGATATACGCAAGCTAAAATTGGAATTAGAATATAAAATGATAAAAATGTTTTCAAACTACTAAACAAGGTAAAACAAGTAATTATAAGTTTCTATGAAAGATTAAAAATTCTAAAATCAGAATATATACAAATTAAAAGGTACAAATAAAACACAGAATTAATATATATAGTCTTTAAGTATTCAGAAAAATCAAGAATAATTTATAAAGTACAATAACAAAAGAAATATTACTCATAAGTTCGAAAAAAAATCTGAATTATATAGTCAACTACAAAAAGTGTAAATAAAATATTAAAAACTAGAAAATTAAAATAAGTGAATAACTGACATATTAAAGAAGCACTTTTTTTAAATTAAATTAAAAATTTAATAAATAATAATAATTTATATTTGGTAAAAAAATTCAAAAAATAAAACAGAAAATTAATGTGATTTAAAAGAGTGTAATATTGAAATAAACTCAGAGAGAGAGAAAATGAAAAATTACAACAATGAAATTGGAAAAAAATAAGAAGCACGAATTTTCTAAATGTGAAATGCTTCAAAATTTTATTGTCGTTTTCATATTAGTTTTGGTTGCCTATGGTTTCTTTGTGTTTCTTTCTGTTGACACTTTTAAATTTTTGTTTCCTATTGTTTCTTTATTGTTTCTTTATGTTTCTAGGTGTTTTTTATATTCGTTAACTGAAATTTAATCTTTTAGGTGTTTCTAATAAACAACAAAAACTAAATAAAC